TGTCTTTACTTCCAAATAGATACAATGCTGTCATTTGTGTATGTGTGTGTTTAGGTAATGAAAGTGCCAAAATTTTACTCTAATTGGCTTTGTAAAAAGTTCTATGTATAGAATCAATCTTGTTAAACACAAATAGAAACAACATGCCATAAACAAATCTAGACACTTTACATTTCAAAAGCAACAGGTTCAGTTTCTGGCTTATAAGGCACCTACTAAAACAGAAGATCTCATGGCTTGTTTTCATGGGCAGATGGATGACTGATCTCTCAGGATTTATTTTCAGTCAGCAATGTTTATATTTTGGGAAAATGCTTGTAAAGTATTTAAAGAATGTTTTTAGTAGGAGAGATTCTGATTACTTTATCCCAACTTGCAGCTTTTAAACAATGTTTTGAACAGCAGAATTCAGACAACCTAGGATTTATTTTTTTTTCTGTTGATCATTTTATTTATTTATTTATTTATTTATTTAAGATTTCTGTCTCTTCCCCACCGCCGCCTCCCCTTTCCCTCCCCCTCCCCCAACCAAGTCCCCCTCCCTCGTCAGCCCAAAAAGCAATCAGGGTTCTCTGCCCTGTGGGAAGTCCAAGGACCACCCACCTCCATCCAGGTCTAGTAATGTGAGCATCTACGAAACTGCCTAGGCTCCCACAAAACCAATAGGTCCAGTAGAATCAAAAACCCGTTGCCATTGTTCTTGAGGTCTCAGTAGTCCTCCTTGTCTTAGAAACCCTCAAAGTAGCAAGCCTTGTTGTTGGCCATCATCTCACAAATAATGACTTCTTAGGTTTAGCTTAGGCTTGTCCCACTGGCTCTTATAACTTAACCCAATATATCAATCTACATTTGCCTTGTGGCTTTTTTTTTTTTTTTTACCTTTTTTGATTCTGTATGTCCAACTCCTTCCATGTCCTTTTTTGATTCTGTATGTCCAACTCCTTCCATGTCTCATTGGTGTCTCCTGCGCCAATTCATCTCCCACTTCCATTCTCTTTGCCCAGAAGTCCTGCCTATTCCCCCTGCCTAGCTGTGGGCCATTCTACTCTTGATGAAACCACTCACAGTAATATATCTTTATAGAGTGTACAAATATCCCACAACCCCTCACCTTGGGAAAGATCACCAGTTTAAAACACAATGTATTTCAGAGTTGCCTCTGTGAGTAGAAGTAGAAGCCATGTCTTTTGTCTGCAATGCATGTTTCATTCATCCAAGTAAATGTGGCATTGTGATCCCAGCTGTCGGCCTTTGCCTTTCCTATGCTGCTCTCACTTTAAAGATAGTCAATAAGCTCCAAATTTTTAAACATGAAAATGAAATAATGCTTTTATATATTTAAAAGTTCTTCTGCCTGTCAGACAGTTATTTCTTTTTAAAACCACATTGTACAGTATTCTTGGTGCCCAAGGATGTTGGAGAGGAGAAATTATGCAGTGTTACTTTTATTTATTAGTGTGATGTGCCATCCTGAAATGTGGTATTTTTTTTTGCAGAAACTCTTTATGGAATGAATTGGAAAGACAGAATAAATGTCAGTTTTTAAGAACACTAGTAAAATACCAATTCTTTGAATTCTTTCCTCAGCTGAACAGAATGACATGTTCATTTTAGACCTCTTCCTTTTCACACATGGAAACAAAATAAAGCAGAAAGTATAAGAACCCAACACTTTGTAAGATTTTGTTTCAGGTTTTGATGTTCGTAGGTGTATAGTGATATTAATTTTATCTTTAAGAATATTACAAATGTCTACCATGAGCAGCCACACAGCTTATCCCAGCTTCTAGAATGATATATATTTTTAATCTACCATAAATGCCATTTTAAAGTGATAAATTTGAAACATAGTCATTAGAAATTTAAAATTTTTCACATGATCATTACAAATATTAAACTTTACTTGTGGAGGATTTTCTATTTTCTTCTCTTCTTCAAAATAGTTTAGTAATCTACATTAAAACTAAACACCCAGGAAGAACCATGGGAGTGGGATCTGAGAGCTCATTCGGTCCAGGACACTGGTGGATCAGGACTGAGCCAGCAACCTGGTACAGAGCAGTCCTGAGACAGCAAATTCTACCAGAATATGTACAGGGGAGTATCTGCTGAGCAAGTGAGCCAGAGCCAGAGACTGCTGAGGGTCTGGACATTAATCTGGGACCTTGAAGAGAATAGTCCTGAGCCAGGACCCCTGAGGGTCTGGGCATGAATCTGGTACCTCTGAGCTAGTAGGCAGGAACCAGAGATCTATGCCAGTCCATGATGTGGGAGTGTCATATATCAATCTGTTGATTTCATTGATTAATTAATAAAGAAACTGCTTGGACTGATAGGTTAGAACATAGGTGGGTGGAGTAAACAGAACAGAATGCTGGGGAGAAGGGAAATTAGGCAGACACCATGCCACGCTTCTCCAGGGCAGACACGATAAAGCTCTGGCCCAAGATGGACGCAGGTCAGACATTCTGAATCTTTCCTGATAAGACACCACTTTGTGGTGCTACACACATTAAGAGAAATGGGTTAACCAAGATGTGAGAATTAGCCAGTAAGAGGCTAGAGCTAATGGGCCAGGCAGTGTTTAAATTAATACAATTTGTGTGTTATTATTTCTGGGCATAAGCTAGCCAGGCAGCCAGGAAATGGGTGGCAGGAACACAGCCCCCAGCTCCTTCTACAAGTCCAGGTGTGAGTCTGGGACCTCAGAGGGAACAGGCTTTAGCTAGGACCTCTGTGGGTCCAGGCATTGGTCTGGGATCCCAAGGGAGTAAGCCTGAGCCAGGTCCTTTGTAGGTCTGGGCACACCTGAGCCTGGAAACTCCAAGGGAGTAGACTGGAGCCCGAGACCTTTGCAAGATCAACCCCAAACTAAACACCTCTGCAGGAACAGATCCAGACCAGGGCCATTTAATGAAACATGTCTGAGCCGAAAAATTAGGCCAGAGCAGGTATGAGACAGCAAACTCCAAAGAAGCAGGGCAAAGCCCAGGAGTGCTGAGCAATCTCCAGGAACACAGAGTGACCAATGAGATAACTACAACTGTGGCACTGACTGCACCATGAGGAACAACCATGTGAGCCTTGGATTCACTGGAACCTAGAAGATTAATCAACAGAAGCACATACAGCCACAACCACAACTATTAGAGAAAAATATGAGGAGAAAAGGTGAGAACACATATGATGCCACAAAGAGCAAAAAACAACAGTAAAGCCTAAAAACTCTACAACAGCAAGACTTGAACAACCAAATACAGATGAAGCAGAAGGAAATGACCTAAAAAATAACTTCAGGAGAATGTTTGAAACTCTTAAAGAGAAAATGAAAAATTCCCCCAAAGAAATGGAGGAAAAGATAAACAAAAGATTGGAAGACATCAGTAAATCCCTTAAAGAAAACCAAGAAAACACAAGCTGAAAGAATTATAGAAACAGAAATCATGAGAAAAAGATCAGGAACCACAAATGCAAGCATGAACAGCAGAAAACAAGAGATGGAAGAGAGAATCTTAAGTGCTGAAGATACAATAGAAAAAATAGACTCATCAGTCAAAGAAAACATTAAATCTAAAAAGAGCTTAACCCAAAATATACATGAAATATGGGACACCATTAAAAAGCCAAATCTTAGAATAATAGGTAAAGAGGGAAAAAGAGTTAAACTCTAAAACACAGAAAATATATTTAACAAAATCATAGAAGAAAACTTTCCCAACGTAAAGAAAGATATGCCTATAAAGATACAAGAAAGTTACAGAACACCAAATAGACTGGAACAAAAAAAAAGTTCCCTTGCCACATAATTATCAAAAACACTAAACACACAGAGTAAAGAAAGAATATTTTGAGCTGCAAAAGAAAAAAGCCAAGTAACATATAAAGGCAGACCTATCAGAAATACATCCGACTTTTCATTGGAGACAAAGAAAGTTAGAAGGTCATGATCAAGCGTTATGCAGACATTAAGAGACCATGGATGCCAGCCCAGACTACATACCCAGCAAAACTTTCAACCACCATAAATGAACAATAAAAGATATTACATGACAAAACCAGATTTAACCAATACCTAGCCACAAACCAAGCCCTACACAATACTAGAGGGAAAACTCCAACCAAAGGAAGTTGATTAAACCAACAAAACACAGACAATTTATGGTCTCATAGCAGCAAATCCCAAAGAAGGGAAAATGCACAAATTAACAACACCAACAATGAAAACTAAAGTCACAGGTGATAGCAATCACTTAATATAAATGACTAAACTCACCCATAAAAAGACACAGGCTAACAGGTTGGATACAAAACCAGAATCTATCCTTCTTCTACATACAAGAAACATATCTCAACCTCAATGACAGACGTTGTCTCAGAGTAAAGGGTTGGGAAAATATTCCAATCAAATGGACATAAGAAACAAGTGGATGTAGCTATTTCAATATCTAACAAAATAGACTTCAACCTAAAATCAATAAAAGAAACAAAGGTCATTTCATATTAGTCACAGGAAAAATCCATCAAGAGGAAATCTCAATACTGAACATCTATGCCCCAAATACAAGAATACCCTCCTATGTAAAAAAGAAAAAGAAAAAAAAAAAAGAAAAAAAAACACTTCCAAAGCTTAAATCATACATTAAAACCCACACAGTAATGGTGGGAGACTTCAAGATTCCCCTCTCACCATTGGACAGGTCAGTCAGACAAAAAATGAACAGAGAAATAAGGGAGCTAACAGATACTATGACTCAAATGGACCATAGATATATATTGAATATTCCATCCAAACAGAAAAGAATATACCTTCTTTTCAGCACCTCATGGAACCTTCTCAAGAATTGACCACATACTCGGTAACAAATCAAACCTCAACAAATACAAAAAAAAATGCAATAATCTCATGTATCTTATCAGATCACCATGGTTTAAAATTAGAAGTCAACAGCAAGACTAATTCCAGAAAGCCCACAAACACATGGGAATTAAAAAATGCTCACCTGAATCATCAATGGGGCATTATCAGAAGCATTTAGTTTGCTGGCTTCACTGAAGAAACAAGGACTACAATGGTCCACATAAACTTTCAGCAAGTCCAGGGCTTGTAATAGTTTGGAGCAGATTGTAGTCCACAGTTGATGCTTGGATGTGTCTGTTAGTCAAGTGGAAACCTGTTGAAACACATTTAAACTTGGAACAGAAGTTAAAATTTATGAACTTAAAGGAAAATATTACATTTGAAACTTTCAGGTCCATAGTCTTAGTAAGTGGGAAGGGAAGGTGTGCCAAGACTAGGGGAAAGAAAATAATCATCCTCTGGAATAGACAGGTGGGGAAATCTTAGGTTGTGTAACCTGCCCAGCAGGTCCAGTTATTCCAGGGTCTGAAGGGGCGCTATCTGAAAGAACATGGGAGAGAGAGGGGAAGAAGACCAAGCAAGCCAAACAGAATTCTGTTCTCAATTTGTCAAGGTCTTCCTTTATTGAAGCAAGCTTTTTGTCTTATATACTCCTCAGTGAGGAACTCGGGCAGGAGGAACTGGGGAAGGGGGAAGGTATTTGGCAGCTAGGCAGCTAAGCTGGGCAGTTGCTAGGTCAGTGGCTAGAACACCTGCTGTTAGTGATAAGCAGCAAGCAATGAAGACACTCTGTGGTGCTTTCCAGAGCTTGAGTCTCCAAGGTTAGCATGTAGTGTTTTGGTTAACTTTAAGTTTTCTGTCTCAAAGATTTTACTTCAAGGCCCTGTGAGAAAGGAGAAGTCTGAAATGGCTCCTGACAAGGTTGTACTTATCTGGAATCCTTTTGACCTGTGAGAAATGGATGCAGTTTTTTTTTCTTCTGAAGCCTATATGAATTTTTATTTTAGAAAAGACACAAAAGTTTTAGATATGTTAGTATCACCAATGTGTACTGAAATCTATATTGTAAAAAATCAGGTAATGGGTATCTGTAAAACAGCAGAAATAGACTCATATATTTGAGTTCTAGCCAAAACTACAGATTTGGGTTAATAGCATGTGCATTTTTCTTCTATTCTGAGATCCATGTATAGATTGTACAGAGATATCTTTGGCCTGATAAGAAGCACTTTAAGTTTATATTATTTGGTAACCAAAATAAATCCAAAATCTTGCACATTTGACTGAACAATAAGTAGTCACTGCTTTGCTAGTTTTATCAGAACTCTATTAAATGCTAAACTCTGAATATAGAAGAGGAAATCAATATAAAACATGGTTTATATCTTAAGGTATTTATTTGCATTTTATAACTTGCATTTACATTGCAAATCATTTTTGGCACCCTCAAAGTTTATAAGCTTTTATATCCTCAGACCCTATTTTAAAGATACATATCAAGGCTTGATTTTACATATAAAATGAACTAACTATATGGCTTTAAAGAACTTGGTTGCCAGCCGGGCGGTGGTGGCTCACGCCTTTAATCCCAGCACTCGGGAGGCAGAGGCAGGCGGATCTCTGTGAGTTCGAGACCAGCCTGGTCTACAAGAGCTAGTTCCAGGACAGGCTCCAAAGCCACAGAGAAACCTTGTCTCGAAAAATCAAAAAAAAAAAAAAAAAAAAAGAACTTGGTTGCCTACTGCTAACCTGACAAAGTTATAGCTAGCCCAGCCATCAGTACTATCAGAGATCCAAGAAGGATAAATTATACCTGAGTGTAGACCAAGCAGCTTCAAGATCTACTAAAAATGCCGGGAACCAGTTCATACCCAGTTAGCCATACCCAGGTCTCCATAGCTTTTAAGGCAGAAATATCAGAATAGCAGTCTTCAGCAGGCCCATAAGGTGACAGTCTTTTCAGTGGAGGAACATGGGTAAGATAGACCTTATTTTGTCTAGGCAAAAGAGGTGTGATCTCTTCTCCAGTGTCCTGTTGCTTGTCCATAGTTTGAGCTGGGTCCTGGGAGCAGATGTTGGATTGGGGCGTCTTGCCCAACAGTCAGCTTTGTCAAATCCAAGTGGTGGCATCTTCTTAGGAGACCTTGAGTCACTGTCAGGATCTGGGAGTGTCTGTCTGATAAAATAAACTTTTAATAAACATTTTAAATGCAGTATCTGCTGATCTCTGAAGTATTTGAAGGCCGTCCAGGTATATCTGAATACTTAACTTTGTTTCTTGCTTTACGATTAAATTTTAAAATCACATACTGGGGCCTAAGTAAGTTTTATCCCTATATTTAATTATATCAGTGTCATTTAGCATGGCTATAATTAATGAACTTGACCATTTATAAGGATAGTTATTAATTTGTGTTTCTTAACATTCCACAATAGGTTAACAGCTTTGACCTTTTAATATAGTTTCCTTGTTTTGGTAACCCCCCTCATCACACACAAAATTTTCACATTGCTATTTTACAACTGCAGTTTTGTCATTGTCATAAATCTTAATACAAACATCTGTCATGCAGGTGGTCATAGGCTACCCCTGTAAAAAGGTTGTGTAACCTACAAAGGGTCGAGACTCAATGGACTAAGAAACTGCTCTAAGCCCTTTGTCAGACTGCTTAGGTTATTGTCTTGCTACATCATAAGAAATGAACATCACAGTTTCTGGCTAGCATTTGGTGCTTATGGCTATGACCTAGTTATTAGCCTTATTTTAAGCCCAGATATTAACACTATAAAACATTTTTAAGCACAAATGTCCCATAGCCTTATAAATTTAAATATATAAAAAACCATTTTTTTAAATTAATCTCTTAAATGTCTTCCTGCAATATCAAAAATAAAGTACCTTTCTCAC